GAATATATTGTAATGTTCGTGGGTTTAACAAAATTAACTTTTAAGACTTCTAACGACAAAACTATTCATTTACACTAATTATTAAGGAACTTAAAACACTATTAAATTATTACTAAACTTAGGTGATGAATTATTCTATTTATTTACACTACTGTTGATATATCACTATTCACTGCGCTATTTATTTCACTGCTATCGCTGTCAATTTATTTTTCGATTCACTTCTGCAACGCTCAATTCTACTCTTCTCGGCGATCGTCTCTTCCTTTAAATACTCTTTTGTTTACTTTCGGGAACCTTCTGGAAAACGTCCGGATAGTTTATTGTTTCTTTGAACTGTTTAACTGCTTTCCCAGAACGCAGGTACGACACACACATATATAAATACGGCGCACATGAAGAAAGGCGCCTGCGGCTAGTCGGCAAATCGATAAGCCGTGTACACTCGTGCTCGCTACAATTTAAAGTTGATTCGAATAGTTTAATTCTTAGATTCACCGGAAGTAATTATTTTTCGTTAAGTTTTGCCTATTTAGTCTTGGTCTTGTTCGCTCGATCTTGATTTTAGTCTTGGTCTTGTTCGATCGGTCTTAATTTTAGTATTGGTCTTGATCTTGGTCTTGCTAATATAAAGATAGTCTTAGTCTTGGTCACAGTCTTGCATTTTCGGAAGATCAAGACCAATTTTGCTCATCGCTAAGTGATTCGTTCGTCTAAACGTAGTAGGTCAGGATTTATCCGTTATTCAAACGACAGATTTTTCTTAATAGGCTATCAGATTGTTCATATGATTGCTTATATTAGGTTATTAAAATTAAAGTAAAGTCTAAATATACTTATACGATCCTTTTCTCTGAAATTTTAACTGCAGGAAACGACGCTGACCGAGTGATAAAGTAATAAAAAAAAACAAATTATGTCAATCTACTTTTTGAGTAACGCAGGTAAACCTTAGTTAATCAGGCGCAGTTATTTAGAAACTTATATATGACGAATCGCGTAGCAGTATTTACGATTGATTCTGTAACGCTCTGGCAAAAACAATACCCTATGGTAACACTGCATCTACGTATTACCTTGATTATATTTTTGAAGTTTTTTTGTTAAAACTTAATTAGTAACTAAAAATTTCTAGCACTAAATGTATATAAATTCATTATACAAAAATTAAACGAAAAATTTAGCTGATCTTGCGGAAAATGAGAAATGTTAGCGCAAGCACATGAAGTTAGTTGGCGAAACAATTGGAATGTTTATGCTATAAACACACAAACGAAGTTATGAGAATAAAATAAATTAGCAAATGGTTTTGGCTCCTAGGTCAATTATATGTAAATAGATTTTTGTTTAGTTGTTTATATATTTAAATAATTCTGCCTTTTTTGAACAGTTAGATATATTTTTATTTGATTTTTATTTTTAAATACCACAAAAATAAACTAATTATATAAGACATGAAATATAAGTTAAGTCTTAACACTACCTAGTTGAACTCTATTTAAAGTATTTATTATATTAGTGTTTAATATAAACTTAAAATATTTTAGACATTTGGAATTCAGTGCTTGTCTGGTACTGGTGCATTAAGAGTAGGTGCCGAATTTTTAGCCAACAATCTTGGGTACAGCACTTTTTATTATTCAAAGCCTACTTGGGGTAAGTGTGAAAATACCAATGTTAATAATGATATTTAATAAACTGTGTAGGTTTGACACCGTTGAAAAAGATAACGCTAAAGAATCTTAAGCAAGTTATCAAACAAGGATAGATCAAGTAACTAATCTAAATTTATTGTTATTATTCAGTTATACTCATAGAAATTATTTTAGTAAATTACTAATTATCTTTATCTTATCAATTTTGCAATTAATTTTAAGAGTCATTACGTAGCCGTTGCATGTCTATGTCGTAAACAATTCCTTTTTTTTCTACATTTTGAAAAACATTGGTGATAAGTAATGTAAGATGTAAAATATACAAAAACGTATTTTTTACAACTAATATATTTAAATATTATGCGTAAATGTAATACAATCGAACTTCGATATGTATGTGTGTAATTTTTACTTGATAACTTAAACGTCTTTAGAACGTATTATTTGACGTGAGTGCTTCAAGTCAAAAAATGACAGTCATTTGTATCAATCGAGAAAAGCCAAAGACGACTGTAAAATGAAGAACAATAAGAGTACATGTAATAACTGTGGCAAGAGGAAAGATAAATATAATTGCCAAAAAAGAAGTTTATTATCGATAATGTACTAGACCATTGAATAGAGATTTAGTATGGAAAAATTGCGTTAAAAGGGGCCTATGATTGAATATGATAGTTTGGCCTCTAAAGATGATGAAACGGAGTGCCCTTTTTTTAAGGGGTGCGTTTTTGAGAAATCTGAAAAAGTCAGTTTTTCCGAATAACTCAAAAACAAAGCAATTTTCGAGATTTTTACAACAGTACTTTTTTTAGAACTTTAGATTTTCCATCGAAACAGTTTTACTTAATTTTCTTTTTATCCTTTTTGGTGTCAAATATAATAAAAAAAACGAAATAGAAAATTTCAAAAAAATCGCCGTTTTTTATTGAATCATCTATAACTTTTTTTTCTGGGCGATTTAGGTATATAATGTTCAGGGGAAAGCTAGCTCTTAAAAAAAGCACACTTTTTCTTCTTTTGTAGAACGAAAATTTACCGAGTTATCGATGCTTATAGTTGCCTATTTTTTGTCATATTTTACCCTATTTTATTACAAACATGCTTTTTTTAATTTTCGATATAGGTATCTACTGATTTTTTTTACTATGAAACAGTCAACATAAACTATTATCAACAATATTAAGATAAATTATTACTACTTTTTAGTTTTGAAACATGTGTACTTTTGAATCTCCCGCTGTGCTTATAAATCGATAATGCGGACACATTTAAAAACAGGCTGTTAAAATATTCAAAAAATCTAAATACTAAAGCAGGAAGAGTGTTGTTCCATTATTTAAATCCATGTAGTCTGTATCGAAAGAATATGTTGGACAAATTGAAAGGAGAAACAGGAGTTAAGAGGAGTAGAGGTAGACCTAGATTAAGTTACCGTTCATGATTGATGAGTAACTAAATGTAGTAGTAGACAGAAAATTAAATAAAACTATTTCGATGAAAAATTCAATTAAATCCAAAATTATTTCGCGGAAACTCAGGTATCTTTGGTGAATTTCATTTTCAGCGATCCTCACAGTGTCCTGCATATCATTAGCATTGCACACTGGCGTTTAACTCACGCGCTGTTTCATACAACCTTATACAAAGAAGTTCAGAGGATTACCAAGGATTATGGAAAAAAAATGCATTTGAGGCCCTTTCTTGCCGAAACCACTTAGCAATAATTGCTCCTTTAAAATTCATTGTCACTTGAAAGGTGCCACATTCAAAGCCTACGCAGGATTTCATACAGGGTGTAATTAAAATAAGTGCGGAGCTTTGAAGTGTGTTAACTAAATGTAATAAGGAATCGCATGCTGGGTATAGGACAAAAAAAATTGTAAGAAAATCACAAGTTAGAATATGAAGTCGGTCCTTAACAAAAACGGAAAGAAGTGGCAAATCAACGTTATCGTCCACAATATAAACACGGGCAGGGCGCAACCTATTCAGTAGGAGGCTCAGGAACCTACCAAAGTCAAAAAGGAGGAGGCTAAGAATAATATGTGAAAGGTCGGATAAAAAGCATCGACCAGCCCATGGACGTCTCGACGCCGATAATTTTGGTCAAGAATAAGGATGGGACAGCACTTTTTTTCATATACTACCGGCAGTTGAATAAGGCGACGATTAAGGATAGATAGAAGAAATCTTGGACACACTTGGATCTACGATAGTCTCAACTTTAGCTTTAAAAATGGATAGCAGCAGCTATCAAGTGGCTTTGTATCCTTAAGTATTCTCCATTAGAACAGGACTGCAGCGGTTTAAGGTGATGCCATTCGGTCCATGGAACGCGCCAGCCACATTTTAAGCAGACCACCTTGAGGAAGGTTTGTGACATTGTGAAACGTTATTATAAATAGCTGTATGGAAGGAAGTTTCTGCTTCTAACTCAGCGTGCTGAGAGTTAAATAGCGCATTGGATAAAAAAGTTCTAATTGTGAGAAGCCGATTTTGACATGAAACATTGGGTTGAAAATAGCCATAACCACACCAACGTCTTATTCTTCTTATTCTGTCGATTCTGCGCAAAAAATTGTAATTAGTATATGATGAGGAGGTTAGACGAATATCTGATACCAATGAGCAGTGGCAGTCTGACAACATCAAGACAATCCAGGGCTTTAATTCAGTTCTGAGAAAGCTCCGAAAATGAAAAAAGGGGGGCATCCGTTTTGGCGAGAATTGAAAGTCTAGTACAGAACTTGTAAGTACGTTAGCAGCAAATGATTACAAGAACGGTAGTGCGCTGTCTTATCTAGTATAATGTAGGCACGAACGACAGAAACAAGTACATTAGTGGTAAGAAATTGTTTCATGAAGTGAATTGAAGCATACGCCCTTCCCAATTGGCGGTCACAATAGCAAAAGAGCTCGTCAAACGCCTAATCAGTTGACTTGGAGTACTGATGAAGCACCATTCTGCCTAGAGTCAAAACTTCGCGTCCGCTGTATTTCAGAACATTTTTTTAGATACTATTCCACACAACCCGGACTCTGCATCCCAAATAGGCGGATTTGAAGTTTGACTTTAAACCTGTTTGCTGAAGAGGATTATGTTAAAAAAGTGATATTCACGAAGATGTACGTTATCATAGTTCGCCTTCGACTGCGTAAAAGACTCCTATGATGTAAGGGCCACTGATGGTGGATTCCAAATAGATATTGTGTGGTCAAAGACATGAACATGGACGTGAAATCTCTACAAGGCCAGTTCAGAAAGCGAAGGTGTTAGATTTAGCATATAGGAACCGATTCACGACAGAAAAATCGTCTGGAAACCCCACCTAGCGCTCTTTGTAGGATTCCTTCGTAGATTTGAGAGACCAACTGCTGATTACAAATGCTACTAATCTACCAGTGCTAAGGATGGAATGTGGTTTGAAAGAGCTGAGCCGGAATATGGTATAAAGCATGGTGGATGTGCTGTTCCGGGGTACCTAAGTAAAGATATTATTGTGCAAGAGCAGTCCACGATAAAAACCCGCACAATTAAAGACGGTAAATTGCTACTTCTACTTGACGTGCGGGTGCCACAAAAGTTACATCTGCAAGTACCTTGATTCTTCAAAGGAGCAGCAGAATATGGTCTGGGTCGCATCATCCTTAAAAGGGGTGGGGTAGCATATAAACATAGCTTGAAGCGGTAATCGATGGTAAACAAATTCCAAAATGTGTCTATCGGTAACGCCAACTCGATCTCGGTGAGCTGCTTATGGTCATAAATCATATGCCGAAGCTGACAGGAGTAGGTGATATATGCCAGAGCCGGGCAAACTCGGCTCTTTTGCCTCCCGAGTGCTCCTCAAGGTTAACCAAGTAGCTCCTCATTGATCCTGCGAGTGCGGGTGAGATGATTCTTTCCTTTTCTTATCCCTTCCTCCCTTCTTCCATAGCCAAACCCAATAGTTTTGCGAACGTAGTAACGAAAATTTTCGTGGGTATTATTTAAGTTGCGTGAGTGGCTTCGCTCGTCTACGGGATGAAGGGGCTTGATATGGGAGTGGAAGGGAGAAGAAAAAGACAAAACAAAATAATTCATTACTGCTTACTCTCTCGTACTCATTGAAGGGTATGGAGTGACTCAAACTAACCTCATGTAGCGGTTCCTGCGAAGTTAAAGTTTGCCCGGCTCTGATATATGCAAAAGTATAACGATTAAAAAGTGAATACACGGTGTTTATAATAAATTCAGTGTTAAATAAATAAGTATTTACTAATGCAGAGTTAAAAAATAAGCAGTAGTTTAACTGCTCAGTTAGCGTTATTGTGTAAGATAAATTACTGTTATCAATGAACCTCTTATATAAGTTGATAAAAAATTTGTTAAAAAATATTATTTTAACTGATTGCTTGTGAAAAAAAAAATTATGCGGTTTGCACAGAAAAAGCATGCATGCACCTGAATTAGAATGATAATCATATTTAAAGATATTTTATTTTTTAGAAAACCATAGACTGGTGTTTTTAAATGCGGGCTTTAAAGAACCTAAGGAATATCGATATTGGGATGAGCAGAAACGTGGCTTAGACATTGATGGTCTTTTAGAAGATTTGAGAAATGCACCTGAAAATTCTGTTATTATACTACACGCATGTGCTCATAATCCAACAGGTTGTGATCCAACCCAAGAGCAGTGGACGAAAATAGCAGATGTTATGGAAGAACGAAAGTTGTTTCCGTTTTTCGATAGCGCTTATCAGGGCTTTGCATCGGGAGATCTAGACAAGGACGCATGGTCCGTGAGGTATTTTATTTCGAGAGGTTTCGAACTATTTTGCGCACAATCATTTGCCAAAAACTTTGGACTTTACAGTAAGTTTTACAAAAAAAAAGTGTTGGAATAATTCTTTATCACTGTATGAAATATGATTTTCGCAATGTAGTTTTTTTATTCATTTTTTTCAGCGCTTATGCCTGCTTTTTAATTGGAGTGTTAATCGGGTATGTTGCTGGCAAACTGTGACTAATGTTCTAAACTGTTTTTGTTTAGTAGTTTTATGTTTAGATTACTATTGTTATTGTTATTGTGGACCTTTGTCTGTTACCATACAAAAAATCACATATTTATCTAGCAGCGTTAAATTACAATATTTACAATAGAAACCCATGTTTTCGGAAAAATTAGAGTACGAGCGGTCTATTTCACTTCCCTTTTCTATATGTCGTGTTTATTTATTAGGCCAGTCAAATTAGAATCCCGAAAAAAGTAAATGTTATTCAGAGTAAGACTTACCTAAAAGTTTTGAAAAGGTATATAAATAAAGTACATCTGCGAATTATCCAAAAATTTTGTTTGGAATTGTTACTTAATTTGCTTTTAAAAACACGCGAAAACGGGTTTTCCGTTGATAACAAAAAAGCTAATTTTACTAAAAAAAGTGTTAAATTCAGAAGACAACATGTTGTTAAAAGAATGCATAAAAGTTAAGGATAATATACCCTATCGAATATTCAAACCGAAAAAAAGAAAATCACAAATAGACGATCACGCACTACAGGTGGAAACTGGAAAAAGACAAGTGTATAGAAAGAGCAGGAATGTTTAACTAAAGACATTGATAAGCAAATAGGTGCAACTCAGTACATGTGAAAGAGGTGAAACTTCTTTGGCGATCTCTATAGCTTTATAACGAATATGTAGTGATTGGTGAAAGAAAGAGAGAGTACGAGAATTTTCAGGATTTATGTTTTCCCACATATTTTATCTTTAGTCCACCTAAAGAGTATTACTTTAATACGTTTTTTTTGTAATTAAATAACAAAAAATGGTCAAATTCCGTTATTTTTCTAAGTGCTTAAGAAACCGTGAACTATCAATAACCACAAGGAATTAGAATTAATACATATAATAATACTCACTCTTAAATAAATATTAATTGTTGTTGAATAAACATTTATTTTTATATAATTGAATAACAAAAAATGGTCAAATTTTTTTGGCTTCCGTTTATTTTTCCAAGTGCTTAAGAAACCGTAAATTATCAATAACCACAAGGAATTAGAATTAATACATATAATAATACTCACTCTTAAATAAATATTAATTGTTGTTGAATAAACATTTACTGTAATATAACTGCACAAATATAACCAAAAAATTAATTTAGCACTATAGTATAGTGAATATACATTATACTATGCCGATCACTAACAGCTGTCTGTAATACCCATATGCGCATGTGCATGTGTCTATTCTCATAGCCTATCGCTTCGCGAGACAAAACGTTGCAAAACGTATCGTTTCATGGCCTTGAAATTGTACTATCATCGAGACCAAAGAAGTTTCACTTTAAAAAGTTTAATGTAAAAGTTGTAGCGTTTAAAATTCTCTACAAAATAGATTTTTAAGATTCAAAATGGGATCAGTAATTGATGACTAATGTCATTGATTGATTTAAAAAAAAAAAAATTCTGAACTTTCCGTTAAGTTAACAGATGTTTATGGAAATTCGTTATCAAAGAAGCAGTAATTCACCTGAGCATTCAAATTTAGAAAAAAAAAACTAAAATAACCACAATTTTCAACAATTTATTTATAAAAATAAAATGNATTAACCAATCAGGTACTTATATTACATAGCTACCAGGGCCGGACTGGCTCGGGGTGCAGGGGTTTTCAAATTTTGTTATAAAAGGAAAAGGAAAACAAACTATAAAAATATCATTTATAAAGAAACGTTAAAATTTTTTTTTAGAAGAATTAACTAACGTTTTTAATTCTTATTAAAATTTGTGCACTTTTCCTTCTAAACCAAGCCATTTGGTTACATTGTACCTCGGGCCAAAATCTTCAGTCCGGCTCTGGCATTAACAATCTGTTTTTTAGTGCAAAAGAAATAGGCGAGATAGATTGGTGGGACACCTAGTCAGAGACATATTAGAGTCTGAAACAGGAGTTAGGAGGGGTAGAGGTAGACCTAGATTAGATTACTGTTCGCAAATAGTTAAGAATGTGCGTTGTTCTAGTTCTAAGGAAATGCGAAGGTTAACGCAGGATAGGAAAGAGTGGAGGTGCGTGTCCAACCAGTCTTAGGACTGACGACCTTATGATGATGATGATGAATAGTTTATAATACTACTTCAAAAACTGATAAAATACTTGCAATAATGACAATTTACCTATTTGAGAGCGCTCATTTAATTTCAAGATATAACGAAGCGAACGTTATTTTTTGTACATTCATACCTATCAGTACCTATCTGGTTAGGTTCTAAAGTACATTTTTTTAAAAGGAAACGGCTATTTTGATCGCATAGCTTTGATGTATACGTTTACACGAGATCCTCTCTGTCTGAAGGCAAACGGAGAATGATGTACGCATGTGTGTGCATGATGGACTGATAAAAATTGGGAAATAGAGCGACTAATAACTCCGGCTATATCTCAACCTTTTCCTTCAGAATCCAACTTTGTTATTTTAAATGGAGTGGCTTATTTTGTACGACGAATTCCTATGAAACACAAAATTTTAAGGTAACTTTGACAATCAACTTACGATGAATGGTTTCTGAGATAATTTAATTTATAAAAAAAATCTCTACCGCAACCCAAATTATAAAAAATCGTAACTTCTGCAAAAAAGGACTTACTGTTGAAAATTTAAAAGTCATAGTCGTGTCTTATGGCTAATGTTAAACCAAAATTTAACTTCATAATTTATACAGAAAAAAATCCAAGGTTTAGAAACTTCAAACACGAATAACTTCGTTTTTTCAAATGGTACCTACCATATTTTATTTTGTCGTTCGATTCCTCTTTTTATCCACTTTAGATCCATGTGGTAGTTTTCTATTGCTTTATTTGAAAATTTTTGAATAAATTTGAATTATTATCTAAAATAGATAATTTCACTAACTTTGACATAAACATATGTGCCGTAGACAATTGACAGCTACCGCAAATGTTAATGAGAATCTCATCTTTCATTTTTGGATGTTACAAAAATGATAGGAGACGAATACTCCAATTCAGATTTAAATACTTTATTTGATAAATTCATAGGCATGCATCTTATACTTCCAAATATACTTTCAATATATATATCAAAAAAAAAAAAAAACAATAAAACGTTTAGAAGTGGTATTCGATGCTTGGAAAAAAACAAATTCCGTCAAATCCTTATAAAAATTAGTTTTCTATCGTTGTCGTAACATAGAAAAATGAAAGATGAGATTCTCATTAACATTTGCGGTAGCTGTCGTTGTCCACGGCACACTTTTTTATGCCAAAGTTAGTGCAATTATCTATTTTAGATAAAAATACAAATTTATTCAAAAATTTTCAAATACAGCAATATAAAACATTCGCATAGATCGAAAGGGGGTAAAAAAAGGAATCGAACGACAAAATAAAATATGGAAGGTGCCATTTTAAAAAACGAAGCTATTCGTGTTTGAAGTTTCTGAAATTTAGATTTTCTTCTGAACGTCCAATATAAATTATGAAGCTCAATTTTGGTTTAATATTAGCCATAAACCATAACCATAACTGGTAAAAATTTCAACATTAAAGTAGTTTTTTGTGGAAGTTCTGATTTTTTAGTTTGTGTTGTGGTAGCGATTTTTTTTTATAAATTAAAATATCTCAGAAACTATTCATCGTAGGCACACAAGTTGGTTATCAGAGTTACCTTAAAATTTTATGTTTCATGCGAATTCGTCGTAAAAAAATATTTCATTCCATTTAAAATAACAAAGTTGGCATCAACTTCCGGTATAACCGGAAACGGCGGACAGGTGAAATTATTTTAGTTATAAAGAGCATCCTCGATAACCCCTACTGCCAAATTTTCTGACCTGTTACACATTTAGTTTCCCAAATATGTATGTATATGTATGTATGTAGATTAATGGAAGGGTGACCCATTTTAAAACAACCGTAAATTTTAANCATTAAAATCCGTTGCGTAGTTTTAAAGATCTAAGCATACATAGGGACAGACAGCGGGGGAAAAAATAGCAACTCGCATCAAACGAACTTACCCTACCGTGCGTAAAGAAGTTTCACTTCAAAAAATACAACGTGTAATTATACAACACGCTACTGAAACTTCTTCAAACACACAAACATACCGGGATAGGGGTTAAGGAATTGGTTTAATGGTGTTATTTGTACACTATAAATTTAAATTTTACAATATACATGCCGGAGTTGCCTGTAACGAACGTTGCATTGAAGCGCGCTCATGGCTCAAGCGATCTCCACTACGAACTCGACAACGTAGCCGAGTACAGGGGAGACATCCGTTGGATGATTTCGTTACATAGCAACTCGCATGAAAAGAACTTACCCTACCGTGTGTAAAGAAGTTTCACTTCAATAAATTTTTATCGTAACTTTGCGGCAATTGTCTAATGCAGCAATAGTACTGAGTACAACCAAAGTTGATCGCAAGGACAGACAACTTTATATTCACTTCTGCCTGTTTTAAGTTTTACTGTGAATGTTATACTTTCTCTGAAAACTAGTTACATTTTAGTTGTATATTTTCCTGCTAAAATCTCTGTTGCGTTTCGCATGTACCCGTCGGTATTGCCGTGAAATAACAAAATCTACGTGAAGAACTTAAGAAATCGTTTGCTATTAGCCTCAAAACAACTAATATTCTTTTTATTGTCAATTTATATTGTTTATTGTATGTATCTATCTATTCATTTTTAGATGAACGTGTGGGCAATTTAGCATGCGTATTAAAAAGTCCTGAATCAGTAGCACCTGTGAAATCCCAAATTACATGGACCATCAGAGGAATGTATTCAAACCCTCCAAACCATGGAGCCAGAATTGTAGCTTACGTACTCTCCAATCCAAAATTGTACGAAGAATGGTATGAATTGTAATTTTTATACATTATTTATACATTAAGAGTACTGTACCTTTCGTAGGAGAGACAATATACGTGCAATGTCGTCACGAATTATAGAAATGAGGAAAGCATTAAGAAGTACATTAGAAACACTAGTGACCCCTGGTAACTGGGAACATATTACAACACAAATTGGGATGTTTTCCTACACTGGTCTTAATGGTAAGTTTCATTATGACTGTTATTCATCTGTTTGAAAAAATATAAAGTCTTAATAACTTAGTGGCGGAAAAGGGAGGGGGAAGGCCCAATGATGTTATACTTAACTGATAAACGGTTGATCGTAGAAATAATTGCATTTTGAGTTTGGGTAGTCACATAGTTTATTATTCAGAGATAGATAAATAATATTGATCAAAATACAGTAGATTGCATTTATTACGACTAGTTATAGCGACCATTTTGCAATAGCGACGTTAAATCCAAATCCCTTGTATTTAAAGCATACTTTAATACAAAAATTATTTGTAACAAATCCCTAGTAATCTCATGCAGATATAGCGGCCAGAGTCGACCGCCAAAGCCACAAAAAGAGCTTTCTTAGCTTTTGTTTATATCTACATAAATGGTCACTAAGAGTGGTGACCTTTACCGTTTGTTTATAGATGTTAGCCAGGTAGGTAGGTTAGCGTGTATGTTAAAATGGTTCACTCACAAACTGGTATTATGCGTAGCAACTGTTTTTAGAAAACTTTTGAATAAGTATGACTTTTAAAAGGCGAAAATCGTTTCAAAATTGAAAAATGATGAAAACTATTGTATGCTTTGTAACGACTTCCGTATATAACGACGAAATTACAGTGATCCCTTCATCGTCATTATATCCGAAATTTTGTCAATGAAATGCTTGTTTTCTGTATTAGTAATTATTAAGTTATGACCGAGGAACATGTATACTCAGTTTCCATGCTGGATAGCGCATATAGACTATGTCTGATCAATTTTCAGGAATATTTGAAAGGTAGCATTTGGAGACACTGTAGAGAGTGCATTGCGTAATAGAGCAACAACGCAGAGGGTGTAAGCACAAAAAGTAGCCCAATCAACAAACCGTCAATGATTGCAAAGACTTGCCAGATTGGCAGCCGCGTTATCTTATCGTCCTTCGTTATCGCAAGCGAGAAGTGCTGAAACATGTACCTATCGTGACCTTCACAGCAGCGGGTACGCAGACAAGTCAATTATACACGATGACGATTATCTCTATCGATCCGGCAGGCGCATGTGAACTACTACTCCAAAAGAAAAGGTACGTCGTTCGTTTTGAGCGGTAGACTAAATGAGCCCTAACTCGCGGGAGTGGGATAAGATACGGTATTTTATGATACGAATAAGACAAAATTAAAAATGCGGTATGATTCTATGGAGGACTGGAAATGAATTAAAAGAGAGGATAAGAGAAACGTACGAAGAAACAGATATAGAAAATAAATTAAGCGCAGTACAACAAGTAATTGGTAGAAGAAAAATATAGTCAATTTCGTGTGAGGATGTCAGTATTATTAGCGAACAACAAAAAAGGGCTGAAAGAAGTGATGCAAAAAATTCAATAAACATGAAAATATGTCTAATAGTACTCCGGAAAAATTAAGGAAGAAGAAGTTACGTGAATAAGAAGTAGAATGAGCCATCTCGCACCACTCAGTGATATGAATAAACATGAGGGTAATAACCTTACCGAAAACTCCAACTACTCTGGAAATGATGATTATTACGCGTATTCGCGTGTTGCCGACACTGCATATCTATTGCATAAACATGAAGTTAATGACCTTACCGAAAGTCCCAACCGCTCCGGCAAACAAAATTAGAAAAATTGTCCAGAAGACAAATTTTATTAAAAGAATGTATAAAAAGTTAAAGGTAATATATCGAATATTCAAACCCAAGAGAAAAAAAATCAGAAGGGAAAGATGGAAAAAGGAAAAAATGAAATTTTTAACCGAGGACTTCCAGAAAAAGTGATAACGATTCAATAAGAGGTGGTCTTGGAATATATGGGGAATTGGACTAATAAGGAATGTCCACTAAAAGTATCCAAGGCCAACAGCCAAAACTTCACAATGAAATATTCCAAGTGCTTCAAATAATCACCTGTTTTTATTGGTATTACAGGATCTCTTCTATTGTTTTGGATCCAGGATGCTTACAAAAAATTTTCAACTACTATTTCCCACAAGGCCGATTCATAAATTGTAAAATTAATTGTTGTGAATTTTAGAAAATTTAACCCATTTTACTGTTTTTTGCGTTTTTCTCGGATACTGTTAATCCAATTAGGTTGAATCAAAAATAATATCAAAAGTCTTGGAATTCCCTGCTTACAAAACATTTTCACACTTCTAAAACATTCTTCACCTCACATAAGTGTTAGAAGTTCAGATCCTCTAGTAAAAATCATCCGTATCTAAAAAATCTAAGGGGTTTAATAATACAAAGTATCAAATAATTAAACAAAGCTTGAAATCTTAGCTCACATAGTAGATATCTGATAATAAAATGGAGTCATCCACGAAATCCATAAAGTTCATCTTGTCTAACTATGGCCAGGAATCATGCTGACACGAGAGCAACCAATCAACCAACCAAAATAGATTTTTTCATGACAAAATGTTTAACAGTAAACCATTTATACTATCTTGTTTTGCAGGTTGCTGTGAGTAAAAATCAAAAAAGGGTCTCTCAGATGTTGGCCGTTTTTGTTTAAACAATGATTAAACATTGAAATCTAACATTTTTTTTTGTTTATTTGCGTTTATCCCAAGAACTAAAAAAGATAGTGAATCGGTCAAACGAGATAAAATGTAACAAATTCCAAGATCTTTAAAATTGAGTTATTGGAGGAAATCACTAATTTTCAAATCCGTTATTGTATTAAAATATTTAAGTAAATATCATTTATTTTAAAACTAACAAGTACTACAAGCTACGTTATCGTTTGAAAGTCAAAAGGGAACTCTACTTTATTCTAATGTAATTAAAGAAATTAACATATTTAATATAACTTAAATAAATTGATTTATTTAAATATTAAGTACAAACGACATTGTATTGAACACCACGCGGTCCAAACGCAAAAGCACCAAAACGCCTATAGTGCACGACTGTGAATAAACATTTCTTCAAAAAAACTGAGATAAGCGTTTTAAAGTATACGCTATGAAATTTCTAAATCACTTTGGTTTTTTTATTAAAAATTCTTGTTATAATTGTGCAAAAAGTATAAGTCGTACAGGGTTCTGCTTTCATTTACATATTGTGCACAGCAACTACTATTTCCCACAAGGCCGATTCTTAAATTGTAAAATTAAGAGTTGTGAATTTTAGAAAATTTAACCCATTTTACTGTTATTTGCGTTTTTCTCGGATACTGTTAATCCAAGTAGGTTCAATCAAAAACAATATCAAAAGTTTTGGAATTCCCTGCATTTTATCTCCTATCTATTCTTTATCTTTTTTAGTTCTCGGGGTAAACGCAAATAAACAAAAAAGATGCTAAATCTCAATGTTTGACCATTGTTTAAACATTTTATTTTACTCACAGCAACCTACTGGAGAAGTTAGTAAAGTTGGTTTACTGTTAAACATTTTAAGAAAAATAACCTTTTTTTTGTCTATGTTGGCTGAGCTACATATACCAAATAAACAAGCTCGACCGCAACTACGTCACCAATATTATGAAATCCACGAGACAAACATTTGAATGTTTTTTTGCAAATTATTGTATACGTTTTTTGATTTTTAAAGTGTTTTGAGTATAATTGTCACCACGTGGTTTTTAAGTATTTATTCTATTTAATATTTTAATCGTACGGCATGTTATAATAGTTTTATGTTAATTAGCTATTTAGAGTTTTATTTATACAGTTTTGAGTAATTTTTGTTAATAGTTGTTAATCAAGGAGCATGTACTATTTAACCAAAATCCATTAGCATTATATTATTAACCAAATAAAACTAGCCTTTAGAAAGCCTAACAACCTGGGCGAAACATTGGTGGTGTACAATATCGAAATTGTGGATCCGGCATCACACTAGCCAAGTGGTCTTTACCTTTGATTCTACATAAAAGACCGGCTCAAATCGGGAAACGGCAAATATCTAATATTGGTAACGACCAATCCATCCTCATTACTAGATATTCGTCGAATAGATGCTCGTATGATGCTGAATACTGAATATGTGGATGGGGCTTAAAATTCGTCATTCTTAACAGTTAAACTACAATTAGTGCAATAATAGGTGCTTTCATAATTTAAAATCGTAATTCTGAGTTCTAATTTTTTAGGTTATTGCGCGCAACAGAAATTAGAATTAAGAAAGTAAATACAACTGACTATTAAATTCGATTTAATTGAGTAGAACTATTTATATTGCCAAAAATATGGATAACCATAACCTAGCCTAATCTAGTATAAAATATTTATCGATTATGATTGTATCAAGAAATAATTAGTACAAACATAATAATTGAACCGTATCCTGTTCGACTACAAGGTGAATGCCCTCTGAAAACTATCTAATGATTATTTTAGCTTCCATGACATAAACTTAGGAAAGATTGTAGCTCGGTAAACATTTCCTGAATTTTGGAAAGCAACCTGCGACAGTGTAAACGAAAACTCCGCCAAATTTAAATCGTTAACCATTATTATTGTGTATCTATATTTAATAATTTTTTGTTTTTTTTTGTAGCAAACCAATCGGAACATATGGTTAAAAAGTATCATATTTATATGCTTCGTTCTGGGAGGATAAGTATGTGCGGTTTAACATCATCCAATGTTGAATATGTGGCTAACGCTATCAAGGAAACGTTAAATGATGTCAACTAATAAATGCAATGCTAATATATATTTACTGATGATGTTTTATTAGAGATGTTCATATCATACTTCATACGTATTGTTATTTGTTATTTTAGATTTAGTAGTTTCAATAAAAAGTAAAAATGTTGTAGTTATTATTATTTATTTACAATTGCAATCCGCACAGGCCATACAAAGGTGAGTCGATTTACAACAAAAAAAAAAATTACATGTTACGATTTTAGTAACGTTAAAACGGTTTTAAAAAAATTAAACAATTTATTAAGGCGATTCAGTACAATACACATAGTACAGTAGTGTTACATTATTTGTAAAAACTACATATCTATTTTTGCTTGCTATAAATAAACCTATAGCAGTATTAGCATATAGCAAGGAGGAGTTAGAGATAGCTTTAAATAATTCGGAAGCAGTATTGACAAAACAGTACTGTATGAAAATAAATAAAAGTAAAACAAAATACTGGTATGCAAGGGCAGAAAAGAAAAGATAGGAGACGAAAAATTAGAATTAGTAGGGATATAATAAAGCAGAGGTAGCGCAGGATCGTGTCGCCTTCAATAAAAAGAAGTCACTTCTATGATCGCGAAACGTTAATTTAGATATTCGAAAAAGTTTGTTAAAGGTGTATGTTTGGAGCGCGGCGCTGTACGGGTACGAAACATGGACAGTGGTCGCAGAAAAAGTTAGAAGCGTTCGAAATGTGGTGGCGAATTATAAGGACACCGTGGATAGAGAAAGTTAGAAATGAAGAGGTATTAGAATGAATAAGAGAACAGAGGACTCTATGGAAGTCAATAAGAAATAGGCGAGGTAGGTTAGTACTTAGGACACCTTTTCAGGCATGAAGGTCTAGTCAGAGACATGTTAGAGGCAGAAGCGGGAGTTAGGAGGGGTAGAGATAGAGCTAGATTAGATAACTGTTCGCAAATAGTCAAGTTTTTAGAGAAATGCAAAGATTCGCTCAGGATAGGAAAGAGTGGAGGTGCGTGCCCAACCAGTCTTAGGACTGATGACCTTATGATGATGATAAATAAACCACATTACATTCCCATGTGACGTAATACATACAGGTTGCAACCTGTATACTTTGCTACACCTGGAATCAGGTTGCGGTGCCATAACTCCTATCCCCTATAGAAAGAGTATCCTCTCTGTTTGAAACTGGATGAAGAAATTTAACAATCGGTGTTTCTGTATTAGATAATTTGGATACTGGTTTCATACACACTTTATATCTTAACAAAAACCAAGTTAATCAAGAACTACTACAGCTATTATTACAGTAATGGAAACATGTGAATTATAAATCAAAAGTTTTATTTCAACATGTTCTCTTAAATCATGCAATTCATTAGTTTAATAATTGAAATTATCTAAATATTTTGGTTTAAAATGAATTTTATTTGAGGCGTCCAGATCGGTAAGAGTAAAATTTCATTTTTTTATAGAAAAATTATATATATTTTTGTATTAAANTTTACAAAAAGTTTGAAATAAATAATTTCCTTCGATTTTTTTCTACATAAGAGTATTCTACGATTATTTGTAAGTTTATTTTTTGTAAATACTAATAAAAGTCTATTCTTTAACATTTTCACTATTCTGAAGTTGATATCTGCTTGGGCATTAAACAAAACCTAATATTTTTTAAACTGCATTTATCTAACAGAGGATTTTCTAAATACACTGTTCCTCGACTTCCAGGCAGTTTTTATTCAAAAGTTTTCTCGTAGTTTATTGAGACTATACTCTTTTGGTGGAACCATCAAATGTTGGTACTCGTTCGGAGTGGGATAAATTCGTGCCGGATTTAAAAATGGGGATGTAAAGGAGGCATGTAATGATGTCCGCAATATGTAAAAGTTTAAAATTGGGAAATTCGATAATTTTAAATACATGAATATTATTTGCTGCTATAAAATTTTCGTCGTGATAAATTTCTTTTAAATGTTTTAGCATTATGAACAATTAATTTAGTGAGAACAGTTCATTGTTAGAGCAATCTGGTTCGTTAATGGGTAATGAACTAGCAGCTACATTTTGGAAAATTCTACCACATTCGCAGGGGCGGCCTTTGGCGTTGGCGAACAGGGCAACCGCCCGGGGCCTCGCTTTTGCAGGGGCCTTGCACACTCGCGCAACAATCTAATTAGAAAAATATTAGGTAGTAATAGTACATATTACTGTGGGATTTAATGTAGTAGGCAAAAAAACAATCAATGAAAGAATATAAACTAAATGCAAATTAACCATAACGTCTTAAACGTCTTACTTTTGGTCTTCTTAGTTTCGCGGTTCGTCGTCCACTCCCGTCGTTCACACCTTTCGTACGCGTCACCGATCATTTGTATATCAATTTTTCCCTCGCCCCGCACACTAACCCGAACTAAACCAAACATTCGCGTCACTGTTCGCGAAAAATCCCTACACTACTAATGTTTATTTGAATTTCTTAATAGTCTTAAAAGAAGCCGCAAATTTGCTATCTTTGTCTTTATCAATTGTTTTTAATTTTCGATAAACAATTTTAAAACTGTAAACTTATTTATGAATCACTTTGCATTTTTCAAGTATCATCATTAAAATTAATTCTACAAAGACGAGGGCCTCGCAAAAATTTACCCGGCCGGAACCTTCCAATGACTAAGGCCGCCCCTGCGCATTCGTCTTGTTAATAGTTTGATTCGTCGGTGTTACTTCGTGTTCGTCTTAGTTGTGCAGTTCTCCAACAATAAAATTCGGAGGACCGCGACTTGCAAAATGATTTTAGAAAGGCTTCTTAAAATATGTATTTGGTCTAAATGTAGCATTTAACAACCTGTAACGATTAATTACCAAAATTATTGTTCGGTTTTCTGAATACTTACGAGTTTTTCTGTTTGATAGGTTTTGTTTGAAACTGAATAGGGCCTTGAGGAAAATTAAACGCTTGTGGTTTGTCAAAATTCGAAAAAAAATAGTAATGTTGTGGAATTTTATTTACTTCTGTTCTCCAGCACATTCGATCAGTAAAATCCATTAAGCTGGAAATTTAAAGATAGAAGAATAGGTTCATGGTCAGATGTCGTCTGCCACTCCATTATTTCCAGATCAACGGATGTATCTTATCGTGCACCAAATTAAATTAATAACATTCCGACCTAATTTGGAGATATATATATGAATTTTGCAGGGGTGTCATGGGGAATTCTACCATTTAAAAATAATAAAACTCGGTCAAAAGTATTCCTTTAGCGTTGACAAATTTATCTTCCGATTCACGTGTCATGTTGAAATGATAACGTTTAAGTCAAAGGAATTAAAATTTCCAACGCGGACATTAAAATCACCCCGATAAACACTGGGGTATTGAGGTTTTTGTTTACTATATCGCATAAAATATCGTTTATCTAAAAAGGTTGTAAAAGAAGTTGTTGAGATAAATCAAAGAATTGTTTAAATTTAGTAATTCTGTTTCTAAATTGTCACGTCAATTTTCCGAAATATTTTTTGTTGCCTAATCTAGAAAACGTTGTTACTATTAATCAAGTATTGCATGAAACTTGTTTTTTCTCAGTTGTTAATGTTTACTTAGAAACTAAATACGAATGTACTTTTTGATTCGACAGCAATTTTGTTGTGAATTAATTTTGTAACATTTTACAAAATAAAATTCTTTTTTACATCGAAAGTTCGATAATACTTGGAGATACCTCGGATAAAATCCCAACAGGTTATGGACCCAGAAAGTGGTGAAATCTCATCTCCAAGGAAAAGTCTGTGAAAGCTCAAATTGAAAGGCAGATCTGAGCAGGAACGTCGCAAGTCAGAAAGTGAATTTAAAAGTCAGGTCAAAGGGTAGAAAAAAAATGGACACTGTAAAATCACAACTTGTCATGCTGTTTTGAGAACCAAAAAGTTGTATGATGTTCCATACACATGACATCGCGTCGAGAATGGTTCAACGAATACACTGAACTGAGCAACCCTGTGTCTGTTCTCCTGGGAGATTCAACTGAAATAGATGGCGTGGCAGTCGGGACAGTGGAGTTGGAAGCCTTTGACGGAAAAGAGTGGTATCCAGTTGTTCTGACAAATATCTTACATGTACCTGAATTGAAATACAATTTATTTTCTGTGAGTCAGATGCTTGATCGAGGATACAAGATGAAATCAGAGAGAGAAAAATCAGAGTTTGTATCGGCTGATCAGGGAACAACTGTTGGACTGGCGAAACGAACTGGAAACATGTACAAGATGATGTTGAGGAAGAAAAAGGAGCAACTGAGTCTGGCGGCAGTGTCAATTCGAATTTGGCATGAAAGATTAGCTCATCAAAACGTGAAGTACGTACGACAGGCATTGGACAAGAAAGGAATCAAGTACTTGGACGACTGGAACAATTACTTATGTACAAGCTGTGCGTATGGTAAGCAGCACCGTGACTCTCATCCCCTCGACGAGAAGACATCAAGCCAACCACTGGAGTTAGTCCACGTGGACATGGGAGAGATGGATGAACGCTCGCTAGGTGGCTCTAAATATTTTCTTCTATTTAAGGATGATTTCTCGCACTTCCGAACTGTTTTCTTTATGAAAACAAAAGGCGAGACACCTGCAAAATTGGAAACATTCGTGAAGATGGCAGAGAATTAACTGGGAAGAAAATTGAAAGTACTCAGATTCGACCAAGGAAAGGAAATCTGAAATGCAAGGACAAGAAAATTTCTTGATGATCTGGGCGTGTTTCAGACACACTCGAATGTGAATACACCGCAACAAAATTGGCGTATTGAACGTGAAATGAGGACCATCAAGGAAGCAGCAATAACAGCTTTACTTGCAGCAAACCTGGACTCAAAACTTTGGGCCGAGGCGATTTAATACGCAGTATTTACAATAAACCAGACTGGCACCAGTACAGTGAAAGGAAAGTCACCGGCAGAATTGTGGTATGGAAGACAGATCGACTTGAACAAGCTGAGGCCTTTTGAATGTGAATGCTACGTATTGATTCAAGACAACCAGAGAGGCAAACTAGATCCGAAGTCGGAGAAGAGGTATTTTGTAGGCTACGACGTGGAGTCACCAAGTTATAGAGTGTATCTCCCACGCACCCAGAAAATCATCAGCTCTGGAAATGTG